CCAACATTTCAGATATTCTATATTGAATTGAATAACCTGGGGTAGTTGTATGTGAGCAAGACCCTGAGAGACAGACAAAGAAATACTGCCTATGGAATGGTCAAATAAGAGAAGGCATAGCCTGCAGCTGAATAATAGGCATAGAAAGACGCTGAGAAGGAAAAACACACACACACACACACACACACACACACAGACAAAAGTTTTTCAGGCTGTAAAGGAGACAGTGAGACATTTGTTCTTTCAGGCTTGCAAGATTCCATTAATGTAGTTTTACAATAGACCAGAAAGTGGAAATTGTTCATTTTTTCCCTTCTGATCTATTTGGGAATAGGTGTTATTACACAATATTAATAAATTTTGACATAAAATATTCATAATGACCAGTAATATATAAAATATCGTTAGCATATAATAACTCCAGCTGAAATTTTATTCTTAGAGTGCCCTTATTAAAACAGAGCAGAAATTCCAAGATCAGGTGCACTATATGAGTTAATCAAGATCTTCCTTGAGAAATAGAAGGGGTGAAGTGATGATTGGAAGAGAAATCAAGATATTATGGAAAAAATGCTGGTCAAAGCCAGTTAATTTAAAAAAAAAACACCAAAGCCTATTTGTTCCTGAATAGATAGACATAAGCAGCTTCTTATTTGTGTTCAGAAGAACCATATTATTATTATTTTTAATGAATAATTCTTCTTAATGATTTCCTTTCTGCTAATTTTCTCACTATTGGAAATTTAAACCTTAAAAATTAGAAGTGATTTATTATTAATTTGTTTATCAAAATAGAATCATTCATGCTGAATTATTTGTCTTTTCTTGGTAATCAAAATAATATTACTGTGTTATTGTTAATGCAGTTTCAGTTGAGAATCTAATAATTTATCAGGTCTTTTTCCTCACTAAGCTGAGCAACTTTTGTCTCAATTGAATTGATTAATAAAAAAATCAACTGCAATGTTTTTTGACTGTTTTGTTTTAGGTCCAAAAAGTTTTAATTCACAGATAAATATGTGTAAATTCAGTTATTCTATTAAAAAATTCCATAATCTATGGGAGAGAGACTTTAAAGTGGTTAGATTTTTCTCTGTGTTCTTTTCATTTTGAATCAGGAATAAATTCATCACCAGCTCAATCTTTCAGCTGTTCTTCAACAGTCTGAAGAAGCTGCTGTCCCTCTGAAGAGGAGGAAGTGATTCTTGTTTTCAAACCCTGTCTTCCTGATTTCAAACCCATAATTAATCTAATGAAACCACAAAGCTGTAATTTAGGCAAAGAAAAACAAAAGAAGTTTTCTGCTTACTAATTAAGCAATCAAGCAATCAAAAGATCAGATGATCTCCTTGGAAATTCATAAATTCAGCTTATCACCACATCAATCAGAAATCTTCACATTAAAGTCAGATGTAAAATCAATAAATGGGAAGACAATAAGGGCAGATACCTTTTTGTAAAGTTGAAAATATTGGCCAAAATAGAAGATGTTAAAACATTTCAATGATGTGGGTTTATTTAAGTCTTCAGGATTATACAAGTATTTCAATGAAAACAATTGTTTCCTAATATTTTTTGAGATCATTACTTTGACTTGTATTTTCTTTCTTTTTGTTAGCGCTTGAAAGAAAAATATCAATGAGGCAAAGCAGAGAGGAACTTATCAAGAGAGGAGTTCTGAAGGAAATATTTGATAAAGGTAAGAAACACTGTTCAACTCACAGTGGGAATTGATTGGGTGGGCGTGGATAATATTATCTGTTTTTGCAATAATTTCTTGTAGTAAGTCCAGGACTTATAGATCTGAATTTTCATAATAGCTGGACTCCAAACTACTGATAAATAAATTCAAATGCACTCACGAGCAGCTTTTATATTAAAATATTGTTTGATCGGTATTGGAATATTTTCTAGCTCAATTATCCATATTTTATAGCATTAAAAGAGAGAGGCTCGCATTTTTACAAGAAAGGGCAGTCATAGAGACAATAAAATCATATTCAAGTTTCATATTCAGTGTTACAAAATATTCAGATTAAATATTCCATTGTGAAAAGATGGATGTTAGATGCTTATAAATTGGATTCCTTTTTGAGGTACCCAATTCCTGAGGCTATTAAGAAGTCACCTGAAAAATCAGTCCCTATAACACCTAATGAAAATGAAATCTTAGGACATTCTTCATAAAATGAATTACCAGTTTTTAGCACAAGCGATCTCCAGTCTTCTGAAAACAGATGAAGCCACACAATAACAACAAAAATCAGTTTTGACACCAAGGGAAATATAGGTGGGCATAACGATCTAGCATTCCCCTTCAGTTCTGCTTAGAAATGAGACTCAAATCTTCCTTCTCATCAACTGTGTCCCAGTTCAACCTTTTTGTTGGTGGAATTTAAGTATTTACTAAAAAAAAGAAGAAGATAGTAACAACCTAAAATGATTACTAATTGGAAGCCTACTTTATTGTCTGAAAATAACATTTGTGACGTAAGCAAAAAAAAACATCTGGGTTGTATCTACCATGGCTTTTTGTGGTGCTAAATTATAAAGACTCTTTTAACTGTATGATTCTTTGAGCCCAATTTTGAAGCCCAGAAATACATCAGTAAATAAAAGCAATTAACAGATCATTTCATGAAAAATGAATAATAAATTTAGAAATAGAATACCGCACTAAAAAAAGGGAAACTTTTTTTCTAAGCCCGTTAAAGAAAAACACAACACTTTAGAGTAATTTGTTCTGTATAGTTGCGAGATTGCTGTTTGGTTAAAAATAGATCAAAGTTATTTAGGGTTTTTTTTTCCATCTCTTGTATCCTTTCCAACCATCTAACTCAACAGATGACAGCAAGCAGCTTGATCTTAAGTCCTTCTGTTCAGTGAAATATTAATGAAGAGACTACGCAGTATTCAAATTTAACATTTATATATGCAGTTCAAATGTCTTTCATTTGATTTAGCAGTTCAGTTCATTTGACTTAGCAGTTCTCAGCTGATGCATTTTGTATTGTTATTTTATATATCTTTTACAAATGGAAGGCAAATGGAAGGCAGTAATGCAATTATGATTGGTTTTACCATTTTTCTTTTACCAGACAGCACAATCAGGTGCATGTTTGGTTGAATACAAGTCTCATTGATTCCATTCAGGCCTGGGAGAGAAGTGAATTGAATTGAATTGAATTTTATTATTTGTATGCCGCCCTTCTCCGGGAGGGACTCAGGGCGGCAAACAACTCAAAAGGGGAAAAGGGGAACATAGAACAGAATACAAGTAATTAAAATAACCAAGAATCACACAACCATACAAGTCGAGAGGGGAGGGGAACTCATCAACGTAAGATAAACTTAAGGAAGTTTATCTAAAACTTAAGTCCCTCTAAGTTCAACCTGCTTAGGAGAATTTCCATCCAACAACATTTCCAAACTCACTCTCTCTTTCAAAAAAAAAAACCTTTGAAGTTGGGTAGATTGTAGTCTCCTTTCCTTCTGGAAAAAAAAAAAGGCTGGGAAAAGGGAGCCCTCCCTTGAAGCAACATTCAATCATTGCCTGTAATGGCAAATCCTTGGATAGCAAACACACAAACACACACAAACACACACAAACAAACAAAAAGAAAGAAGTTTCCTAGCTAATTCAAAAGCAAAGATATTCATATCGATCATAAAAATCAAAAATTCCCCAAACTCTAAGGAAGTATTAGAACTTTGGGGAAACCAAATTGCTGCTGTTTATATAGCTGGATTTATAATTAATGAAGACTGGGCAATTTCTAGCTTGTATTTTCATTGGTCCAAACAAGGGCAGATTAGTTTTAGGCAATTCTCTGATTAGTTGCACGTTGTTTCTTGCAATTGATTAATTATAATTGATTAATTAATTATAATGTCATTTAAATCCATTATAATTAATTGTCATTAATTGAGCAGTGTTTTCTGTTTGTGTTTACATAATATTGATATCAGTTCCATGATTTTCCCCAAGACTTCATAAATGTGAATTTATGAGCTAATAGAGACTTTCAATGGAAATGAAGTGAAACAAGGGTATCTCGAGCATTCTGTTCTGATGCACCAGTCAAGAACCTGTGCAGGAGATGTGCCAAAACTTGCAAATCAGAACATACTATGTTCCAGTCTGTAGATTATTGTATGGAAGAGTTCAAGTGGGACCAGTATTGCACTCAAAACCTGAAAAAAGATGGAGGGTGGGGGTTGAGCATACAGGGAAATTAGCCCTAGGGGCCCTGCTCTAAGAAGCTCAATGCCAAGTACACACCAGAGGTGGGTTCCTACCAGTTCGCACCTATTCGGTAGAACCGGTTCATCAAATCTACCGAACCGGTTAGAAGAGGTTCCACCAGTGGACCCGGAAAGCAGGCCACACCTACAGAAGAGGTTCCAGAATTTTTTGAAACCCACCACTGGTCCTTGGATATGATTATTCTACACTATCATGCTCATATTTATAAAACTCAGTGCCTCTGTGAAAGGTAAGGATGACTACTGCGTTTGTGGCGCAATCAGAACATTGCGTGTGTTGAAGTTGTTTTAACGCAAACCAAAGATGCCTTTTAAAAAACAAGTTTACATCATATTCTGATGCACGCCAGTGCTGTGTGTGAGGTAATTTAAGGTGGTTCTGACAAGTGTCGTCGGCATCTTCATATCCGGTCACATGAGCGGCAAGCCACTCCCATCCGGTCACATGGGCGGCAAGCCACTCCCACAAAGGGGGCCACACCCACAGAGTAGGTTCAAACAATTTTTAAAACCCACCACAGGTACACACTAAACAATTCTATTCCAGTGTCTTTCCTTCATTACATTATAATGTTCCAACAGCCAATTATCATTTTTACAAATACATCCGAAGCAACAATATATTTATATTAGACAAGGTATAACTTGGATAACTAGGTTCATTCTATTCCATATTAAGGTTTTTTTCCCCTATGGAATCTGTTGTTTGCAGTTAAAATACACGAGGCAAAGGAGGGGTGGGGGGACCCATTTTTCCAATCAACCTCTTTATTAAAGAGCATTGATTTTTCAACTGCAGTTATTATCTTTCTCCCATGCTATTGTACTTTCTTTTAGATGGAGAGCTTTCTATTCAGAACGAAGAGGGGTCATTGGAGAATGGACAGGCGTTGAGTTCCAGCCAACTATCACTGCAAGCCCTATCTGAATTGGAGCCATGTTCTATATCTGGAGATTCCTGTAGTTATGAAGTACTCCCGAATCCAGACGTCATGGATGGAACAGGTAGCTTTTCAATTCCATCATGAGCCACATGATTTAGAAAGAATCGTTTGAGGCAGCCTTGACTCCTGGGGATTACATGGACAAGCAGTTTTATCAGCAACTTTTTTTTCCAGAATTGGCTGGCCAGTTTTTTTTGTTTTTTTAGGGTTGAAAGAATGTGACCTGCCCAAAATCACCTCTCTGACTTTGTGCCTAAGGCAAGACCAGAACATCCTGGTTTCTAGCTCAGTAACATTAACCATTGCACCAAACTCGCTCTCCAGAATAAAAAAATGCAGTGATTTCCTTAATCCTTTAGTAGTAATATATCCAGACTGATATAATTCTAGATTATATCTTATCTGTATGAATAGTCTCTAATTCAGTTAATAAATATGAAGAATTAACATTTAAAGGTTTGTCAATGTTTGTGGGTAAGTTTGCACAGTAGGTGACATTATTCTTTAGTGAACTAACTTGCCAAAACAAGTTACTATTACTTTTGTTTTAATGGTGGCATATGTTTATATGAACTAAATTTGAAATAATTGTTTACAATCGGAAAGATAAGAAGAACAGAACCCTACTGAACCACACATAAAGAAAAGGTTTTAGATTAAGGAAAAAAAGAAGGCTAAACTTTTTTTTTTTTGGAGTGGGGGACACAGTTCAGGGAGCTGAGCTCCAAATCCTTCTGAATTGAATCAGGTTGGGAAACTAAAAGAGTACAGTACACCAATTTATTTTTTCCATTTTTCTAATTTGTAGAATCTACTGCGGTTAGTTGTAGTGTTGATCACTCCACTAGAAAGCTCTAAATAGAATTAAGTATCTGCAAAGAAATCAGTGACATCGCTGTTAGGGAGCCGAGGTGGCGCAGTGGTTAAATGCAGCACTGCAGGCTACTTCAGCTGACTGCAGTTCGGCTGTTCAAATCTCACCGGCTCAGGGTTGAC